ATCCTTCTGCTCTTTGTTAGTTGCGTTGTAAATTATATATGTATGGTGCGGTAAACGTGAAAAGAATGCATTCTTATAAATGCGCCTTCTCCACAAATCCGCCTATAATCGGCAGCAATTTCAATTTCTCCGTGATGTAATCCAGACTGATTTTCATTATCTCAAAATTGTTGTAAATGTAATATAATATGCCGAAGTAAAATAGGTACACTGTTGTAATATGAAGAACGTACATTCTGAAACATACACATTTCACATATACGATGAATTGTATGACATCAAGTTTTCGACAAGTTGCATACAAATCGAAAAAAAATAAAAAATTAAAATATATAATATTTAAGTCAATTTTAGTTAAATTTTAATGTTATTGATGCAAATTTAATTTAATGTAAATAAATTTTAATTAAACTTTGCAAATTTGATTTTTAATAAGATTTAATTTTTAGTAAATCTACAAATTTTGTAAATTTTTTTTTAAATTTTTAGTAAAGTATATTTGACTGCTACTGTATTGCGATTAGACGTAAAAATTCAATGCAAGCTGAAATAAAAAATAGAAATGTATGTGCAGCGTCAGAAGGGAACATTTAAACGAGAGAAATATTTAAACAACGTTAGTTTCTTTTACTATTTTCTTTTATCCTAACTTTCACATATTACGCTTATATTAATGATCTTATCTCACAATGAAAATTTAGTTTCTCTTGAGAATACGCAATTGTCGTTCAAGAAATGTAGAAACTTCTTACGAATATCAAGATTACGCAAGGTATGTTTAACTGTATTCACCTTTCTTCTATTTATTGAAACCTTCAAACATTGTTTCGCATTTTAAACATTTCTAAACTGCGACTGAATAAATTTTGTGGAACTGTTCTTTTTGCACAAAAATATATAACATGGAATAAATTTATGCAAAATATACTCACATCTTTTGATGCCGACGGGCTCTCGGTAAAGAAGACAAGTCTTCCTTTAAGCAGTATTGTCGCGCGCCGAGAATACAATTCTTTGTATACTCTATTTTGTCGGAATTAGAATCGATATAAGTGCGAAACAATTTTTTATCCTCTGGCGATAATTCATCAAATATAGTTGTTATTTTATTGTTATAAAATATCCATTTTCTCGTGGTAAAATATTGCAGTACTTCGAGTCCAGCTGAAATTCGTTTCTGGAGTTTGACCATACTGTTAGAAAGAACGAAAAGAAAGAAAATAATAAAAATAGATCACATAATATTATGTTATATTAAAAAATATTATGTAATAAGTAATAATTAATGGATAAACATTGTTATAAAGAGTACTCAGAACTTACAATCTTTTTTGTCGAAAAATCAGCATTAAGAAATCGATAAAGTACGCGGGTATGATGTGGAAAAAGAAGACGAATAAATTGTGCACAAATTTGTTGCTACGTATATTGCCGTCAGGATACCAAACCTGTCCATCAAAAGGATATTCGTAATAAACACGCCTACCCAATTCAAGTGTCTCGTCAAATGTCATCTCTGTTATTCTGCCTTGTGTTACATTGAACACGGGTATACTTTTTGATCTATAAATGGATTGACAATTGTAAGCACACAAGAGAGAAATTTAAACATTACAAATCTTTAAATAATTAATAATATCATTATTTTATATTAAATATGATAAGAAATAGTAGTAGAAAAGAAATAGTTTATAAATTATAGACATATTGCATGTTAAATTTGTTTTAAACAAACAATTAATTTGCAACAAAATTTGAGATAGATATCTATTTATAATTTTACGTAACATAAAAACATTTAAAAACTAGAAATACGCACAAAATGAGTAATCCATACATGTGTATATATTGATTTTTTAATTGTTTTTTTATACGATAGGTCACATAAAATAAATAGAATGTTATCCCATATTGTGTTGCAATTGTCCAAAGCGAGATTTGAATAACATACTTTGATTTGAATGTTTTTTCGGCATGTTAAATGATGCGAAAAAAAAGAATTGCACAAAGCGGAGTTACATACTTCTCCTGCTTGGTACCGACTCTGTATGCAATTACAATTAGATTATTAATCGCAATGTCAACCGGTATAACTTCAATATGATATCTGCCGTTGCAGTGCATTGATCTGACGACACCTTTGCCCGCAGCGATGAGCAATCCTACAATACCATTCAGATTGTCCACCCAACCTGGTAACGGTTCTTCTATAGCTGAAAATACTAAACAAAATTAAATTAATTTTTTTTATTTTAATGTATTATATAGTGTACTGGCTTATTCGAGCATATTGCATGCAGATGTGAACAGAAGTTTCTATATTTTTCCCGAATTTTTCAGTGTATTGTGCAGATCTGATATAATTTGTGTAACTATCGCGCCGAGAGATTTTTTCTTATAATTACTAAAAATTTATAAAATATACCAATAATTACCGATTGATGGCCTGGCAATACAGCAAGGCAGATTAGGATACTCGTTGACCACCAATGTTTCGGCAAGACACTTCGAATACGTGTAACTATTTGGATGCGGATGCATTAATCTAGAATTATAACAATAGACAAATACGTTATTGCACAGACATTTTTTATTATTGGATAATTCAATGAGTTATTTAATAAACAATTATTTAGTATTTTTAAGTCTTTATTATTTTTTAAATATTTAATTAAATCAGCGCTCGGAATTAGTTGCACATTTTGGGCCGATTCCCGAGACGACGCCTCCTGTTCCCCCACCACTTATTTATGTAGCGAAGAAAATGTTACGATTTCTTGACAGATGCCTAAACAATCCAGCCTATTTCTAATATAAAACGCTCCTGAGGCAGAGCTATCGGCGGCTCGGCTGCCAGCGGCCGGGCGGTAGTAGGGGAACAGAAGGCGTCGTCTCGGGAATCGGCCCGAAATGTTCAACTAATTCCGAGCGCTGAATTAAATCACTAAAGAGGTAATTATTTTAATTTTATATCCAGTTTTATGATAAATATACTTATCAATATGTTATTATTAATGATTAATAAGATCGTTAATTTAATTACTTTGGTGTAAGAAGATCGATAGCTTCTTCGTCCAGCCATTGAACGAGTTTCATGACATGGTGGGGATTATGAGGGGAATCATATGTACATTCGGCAAGTTCCTTTTGTTCGACGTGACAAAAAGTCGTGCTTACGTGCAGGAAACATTCCAGTTGCTTTATTTGCTTTGCCAAGTCTAG